TTATAGCTCTGGCTTTTAATGATGATTTCTTTAAGTTTGAATATTCAGGTAAGTGGCAGAGAACAAAATTTATCATTTGAACTACTAGTAGTACAAGGATCTAAAAAATCAAATATAAGATGAACAGTCTTAGGCAAATATATGCTGTCAATTTCTGTATGGGAATGTGTATACAACTAACAACTACTCTCATTTTATTCTGTCTTTTATAATATTTTTCCAGTAAAATTGTCCTCAGTGTTTTGCCTCACTGGAATTATACTGATTTTGGAAATAAAATATGTGTAAATTATGAATATGATGAGCATATCAAGTTTTTTTAATTTTTTTTAGGAACAGCAAGTCATTTGATAACGTTAAAAAAGTCAAGATCCTTGCTCAATTCTTAAGTGATGTTGCGAACATTTCACGCATCTATATGACATATTCTCATTCCTCAAAGCCCTCCTGTGCCACATGCAAATACAGAATCAAGAGTCTCATGTTAGAATCACTTACGTACCCAGAAAGGTGGGTAAACTAAATTCTTATTACAACATTTTATCTTAAAATTACAAACATTGGTTTGTTAAGTTATAGTTTAAGAATCCATGTGTTTAAATGTCTTTTTTTTCATTATAAAGGACCCTCAAAATGTTTGAAAAGGTATAAAATTAAAATGTATTTTTGTCTTGAATGGTATTTATGATGATATGGAATCATATTACTTGAGAAAAAAGAAAGCATATGCAGACATACGCAATCATTTCATAACATACAACAAAGGTGAGGAATTGAGATAATGTATCTGTTAATCATTTGTCAATAATTCCTTCTGTTTCTGAAGCTCCAAAACAATTTTATTAGAATTTAAGAGTGAAATAGCATAACAAGAAAGTTGCAAATCTCAGCAGCTGTCAGGAGGAGAGAGATAGAGGAGAGAAATAGAAGAGAGAGAGAGAAAGCTGTGCCTTTTCAAGCTAGGGTAAATCCTCGCATATTAGCAATGGATTTCAGTAAGCAGCTCATGGTAGAAGGCAATCGGGGCTTCAGAGAAAGAGTGAGAAAGCCCAAAGTGTCAAGGAAAGCAAGCTTGGGTTTTGTTAGATAATTTCTTACATATAACATGTATTTATAGCATGGTTGAGTGGCCCTTTATATCCTTTAGATGATATCCAGTGGCTGAAAAACCCTATAACCAATGGCATGGTGACAGAAAATGTAATTCACCATGACTTCTTTCTACAAACTGCACTACCATATGGTTGGGAAAAGAGGAAAGTACTTTTCAATCTAGTATTTATGTAAGATGCTACAGATCACTAGAAATTCAGTTTTAAAATTATATACTCTGACAGGATTGAGTTTTTAGGGTATGTGCTGTAACAAAACAGTCTTTCACTTTCCTTTTATAGTCATTGGTCTTGGATTGTCAGTTATATAACAAAAGTCTCCATTCCTATTGAAATATGACACTATCTTGACTGTCTGGAAACTGCTATCTTGAAAATGATTAACTCTACTGTACTGTTTTTTCAAATTGATTAAGATATTATTTCTAAATAGTAGTGACAATTTAAGAAAAAAGAACTCTAAAACAATGTTAGTAGAAATATAAATCAATTTAACCATTATGAAAATCAGTTTAGATGCTCTTCAAATTTCTCAAAATAGATATATCATATGATACAGTTATACTGCTTCTGATTATATACAAAAAGAATCTAAGTTAGTATACAAAAATAATAGCTACATATTTACATTTATTGTGGTGCTATTCATGATAGCTAAGTTATTGAATCAGTCTAGTTAGCTTTCAACAGATAAATGAAGAAGTGATACATATACACATGTATAAACATAAATAATGAGTAATGAGTAATATTCATTCATGAAGCCAAAATGTTTATAGAAACATGGGTGGGAAAAAAAGAAACATTGATGGAACCAGAGAGTATTATGACAAGTAAAATAAGCCAGAATCAGAATTACGCCATGCTTTTTCTCATATATATATAA